TAACTAATATATATATATATATATATATATATATATATATATCCTAATTAATATATCGATATTCGAGTAATCTAATCGAATTAATAACGACTTAACGTGCCCCGATAATTTTGCATGGATTTGTTCCATCCACGACTCTATAATTATTCGCTTCGATTGTTCTATTCGTGATACGGAAATTTTCTCCGTGTCACGGCAACGGATCAACCAAATTAATGGAACATAACTAAAAATGCTTCTCCAATTTAGAAATACATCATTTTCTCTTGATTCTCTCTTTAATTTGGCGAGATAATTGTAATTGTAATATTTATAATTTTTAATTATATATATATGGTAATATATAATGGTAAAAATGATTAAATACTTTATTATTGAATATTAAGTTACTCATTTAAATTAACTTCTCTTGGGATGTTATGCATCAATAAAATAAAATAATTTGTAAAATAATTTTCAGATCTAACATAATCCTTCTGGATATTTGGAAACAAGATGTGAATAGACAAGATGTTCCTTTATTAAAATTAAAACTTTTTGAAAAGAAAAGTTTTTTTGATGACATTAATATATCAAGAGTAATACAATTATTGTTTTATCATGATGTCATTTCTCAAAATCATTTCAAGAATGAGAGAATAAATTATTTTGAAAAATGTGTTGGCATACATAGCATTTCAAAAGGAATATATTCTAAAATGACATTCAACAATGAACTATTTAATTTCATTTTTAAAAATATCTGGACAATTTCTTATAAAATGAATTATTTCATTTATTACTCTTTGAATAAGAGGAATCTTTTCTATAAATCTTGAAAAATATTTTTCAAAATATTCAATGTTTATTCATATTATCATTAATAGTATGTCATAATAAAAAGTGAAAAACATTTAAAAACATCATGAATATCATTATAATTAAACACAGAGTCGTTATAATATAGTAATAACTTCTATATAATAAAATGAACATGGAAAAAATAATTTTCTGCAATATTTCTTTTTCGAGGAACCCAGGAATTTGAATATTTGCCAAGTACACGTGTACAGTTTCGAACACTTGAGGAGTATGCTTGAAGCAAGGGGAAAACATATACCGTCAAGACAAAGTCAAGAAGCATCTCCCTCATTTTGTAACCCGCAAAAATTACACTCGAGGATACCTGAAAGTCGGCAAATATTCGAATTCAATTTTCACGAAATCAGATCTTTTCTTTTTTGTGAAATAAATTTTTTTTTCTTTTTTTGTAACATCAAATGTATATTACCAATCGAAAAATATGAATTACGATTTCCTTTTCGAATCTTCTTTTAATTTGCCAATAATTTAAAATTAGATCATTCAACGTCAACAACATAAATTTATTTCTTATTTCATTATAAATAATAAAAGATTCCTAATTTTTCTTTTACATTCTAAATAATTTCTATTCTAACATATCAAGCTAAATACATGCACATTTTTATAAAAAGAAAAACGATATAATTATGTACTTACTTGGATTTCGTTGTATTTCATGATAGAGAATAGTTAATATCTCCTTAGGATTCAGGTAATCTGTTAGTCCATCGGTGGCAAGAACCAAAAAATCCTCTGTTCCGTCTAAAGGAACAGATTTAATTTCTGGCTCGCCTGTTACGAATGGCTTGTATCGAACATCGCCTGAAATCAAGCAAAAATATATCGAATTATTACAAGAATTATAAAAATTGTAAAAAATAATTTTTATCTTAGTATAGAATGATTTTTATAAACTACAATTCGATTGTTTTTTTATTAGTTTCGATAAATTAGTTAAAAAACACTTGATTGTTGGGCCTAAAATTCCATGTTTATTTAATTTAACTGTAAAGGATTTTCATTCATGATTATAGTAAATCGATGAAAAAATCACGTAAATTTATAATAACCGGAAGTATCTGTATGGTACCATTATTTAAATGAGCTACGCCATTCATTAAATAGATAATTAAAGTTAATTGCAACCTAGTTGAATACTGATACTCCCCACATTTTACCGTCGCGTGTTTTTCAAATGTAAAAAAAACATTACGTGTAATGAATAACTGTAACAGTTAACTTGAATTCCATAAAATTACACGTCACGGGATATGAGATTCTCTCTCTTTTTCTCCATTTATTCTTTTATTTAAGCCCGTGAATTGAAAAATTTTTCAGATATCATAAGTTTAATTCGAATCATAATCATATTAAAAATTTTTAAGAAATTGATCAATATTGTTTCATATTATATTCTCATTTATAAGAATATAAACTGCGCCATCTATGATATAAACTATCTAATTATGTACTGCAAACATAAACTGCAATACAAAAACAAAATTTTAAATTATGTTACTTGTAAAAGAAATCATGTTTCGATTAAAATCGATATAATATATTGTTCAATCGAGTATTTTCTTAAATTTAACATTTGAAAAAAGAAAAGATTATATTTTGTTTCATCGATATTATAATTAACATTGCATATTTTGTGATTTTAAAAATCTATCAAAATAATTCAAGAGAAAGAGATTTGATATATTAATATTATGTTACAAATACAAATCATTCGAGAATTATTATTTTTTATAATAATAATTGAGCAACGTTTTTTTACTTTTCAATTAATTTCAAATATATAAATTACTTATTTTTATAATCAACTTATTAAAAATTTTTATCATTAGAACTATTCTAAGTTATTACGGATACTTGAAACATAATAATTTAATATTTAACATATTATTTATAAATTAAAATAAAAATAAACACTTGCAAAAAAAATAGAAATTAGTGAGACATCTGGTAGCAATCTCTGACACTACTTTGACAGGAATTAGAATGATTTGACACGTATTTCTATTCCAGACGTTCGAAAATACCATAAATTTAAATCGAATATGTTATATAATAATAATAAAAAATTTTGCAAGATTTAATATAAGTCTGATTATTTTCATTAACAAAATGAAATTTAAAAAACACATTAAGCAAATGTTTCTCTGATATTACTTGTCTGAATATGATTAATATTCCGATCGATATTTATTTACAAATATTTACGATCAATGAAAGAATCATAAATAAAATATAATTCTATGATAAATATCACTTATCGAAATTTTATGACGTCGAAGCAAAATTCTTCGCAGAGGACAAGCGTTCGAGACACGCGTCTTCTCGCGATGCATAAACGGTTTAATGGGCTGTTAATTATTCCGAGCATGCAATTGTAGAAGCCACCCAGTAAAGCGTCCATTGCTCGAAGCATGGTTGCACGTACTATTGTGTCAGCGGTCAAACGGAACCAACAGGATACCCGACACGCGTCCAGAATTTTTTCTTCCTTTTCTTCGTGGTACCTAAGCCATAGTTGGCCAGCTGTTAGTATACGCAAATTCTTCCTATTTGGTTTCTACGCGAAACACGTGACTTTAAACCGAATCAAATTATCTCGTAAAGATGATTAAGATTTAGATGATTAAAAGATGATGAATTTAATTGATGAAGATTCAAATTACGTATGTATAATAGATCGTTACAATATGTGATTGCTTAAAAAAAACGCAAATATTTAAATAATTATAAGTGGGAAGCTCAAGAAGGACTCGATACAAAGGGGGCACCACATGTCTCGTCTATATACTTTTGATTTTTTATATCATAATATGATAAATTAATACAACGTGATAATATTAGTTTCGAAGTTATTTATTTCTTATTTTAAAAATTGCAAAATTATATTATAAATTATATTATTAATATTATATAATGAGCAAAGAAATGGAATAATAACTATTATTTATATTTATATATAATCATTTTATTCTTATAAATTCTATATAAATACGTTATTGATTACATGCTTATCAATTTTAACCATTAACAAGTAGTAATTTCTTTCATTTTCATTTTCTGTGATTTTTATGCAAATTATTTTCACGTATCTAATTTGTATTTAAATTAAGTTTTAATTTGACATATATCATATAAAAAGTTTTAAATAAAATAACTTAAAAAAATCATTGATAATTAAAATTCGTTTATCGATATATGCGTTACTTTTTTATCGTTCGATTGTTTTCACATAAAATAGTGCATAACTTAAATATAATATTTATTATATATATAACATTAACATTCTTGAAAATAATATTTCATCAAGTAAAATTTATTAAAATATAATTTATTTATATAATATTTATTATAATATTCAAATTTGAATCAAATTAATTTTTTAAAATAAAAACAAATAATAATTATAATAATTATTTAATAATAATAATAATAATAATAATAATAGTTTGAAACTTATATGTCAAGATGAATAAATAATGAATAAGAATCAAGTTTCAAAAACCGCAAAAATTACACAATAAAAATACGAACTAGAATAAAATAATTTAATAAGAATTTATAAGAATAAAACAATATTTATTATCAAAAATGTACGTAAATTTTTAAAGTTAACTTTATTTACCTGTAATTACTATAATTATTCAAGTAATTAAATATTTAATACATTTAATGAAAGAAAATAATTCATTTAAAAATTTTTTTTTATATTTCAATTCATTTTATTCTATAAAATAAAACTGGTTATATAAAAAAAGTAAATCATATCATAAAATTGGTATAAACAATAATTTAAAATGACTGATAATAAAAAAAGTATATCTTAAAGATAAGAAAATAAATGTTTTTTATTCCATTTAGAAAATTTTTTTAATTAATTTTTAAAAATTATATAATAAAAAAAATTAAACATTTTCTAATATAAAAAATATATAATAACATTTTTAAAATTATATGAAATATAATTTCGATTGAATTTGTTGAAATATATATATATTCAATGCAATTGACTGATCATTAGATATACTTGTATCGCCATCTAGTGACATTTAGTTTGCATGACAACAGTGAAATTGATTGAGAAGTTAATGAAAACATACTATTTCATCAAAAATAAAATTAATCGTGCAACGTGCAAGTGAATATTAACGTGCTCTATTTTATACGTGCCAAAAATGTAAGTATTAAAAATAATATACTTCGAATAGAATATTAAATTTGAAACATAAATATTATTAATCAATAACATAGATCGAAATATTAAAATTGCGTAATTTCTTGTTTAATATCAAAAATTTTTTTTATAAAAAATTGTGATATGCAATGTTTTATAATATTTATATATTATTAGAGATAAATGTAAAGTTAACCTAAACGTTCAATCAAAAATATTGAATTAATTATATTTAAAATATCATAAAAATTCTATTTTTTAGATAATTTAAGAATTTATGATAATATATTATATTTATGAGAAGTAACATAAATATATATTTAATAAAAAATAAAAATAATTTGAATAAATATAAAAATATTAGATATATTTTTAATTTAAAAAAATATATATAGCATCTTATAATAATCTAGTGATAAAAATTTTATGTTTTTTTATTTAATCTAATATTATATTTCTTATTAATCTAATATAATTTGCATAATTAACATTATGCAGAATTTGATTTTTTTTCAAAAACTTATTTGCAAATTTTATTATTATTAATAATTATTAAATTTATTACAAAATCATATAAAGTTACAAATTAAAATTAACTTACCTATTGCCCTTGAAACACCTAATACTCCATTTACACGCATAATTCCCATACTTGGCATTACTACTCCTCCTGCTTTTCGTATCCTTTGCACTTCATCCTAAAGCAAATAATGAATATTGTTCGCAGATGATATTATGAATTTTTATTAGGACACATTATATATATCAAATATCAATTGTTTTTTAAACAGAGCAAAATAAATCTAATTTGAAATTTACTGTCAAAATATCTTTAAATTAAAAAATAAATTTTGATGATAAATTATTAAAATTATTAATTAAATAAATTTAAAATGACATTAGTAGGAACACAAATAGATAGTGACAAGAGATTACTAAATTTTGACACTTATGAAGATTATTTGAATTCTTTAATATCATTTGTTGATCTTGGATATCTAGGAAATCTTCATGTTGCACGTCAATTAGCTGAACTTGGCTATCGTTGTGCAGGTGAAACACTTGATGAAGATACATTTTATCGGCGTTTAAAAGCTGTGAAAAATTTAGTTTTTCCACCTTATAAACCATATGAATTAACATCAGAACTAGTGATACCAAGTGATAATGTAATGCAAGAATTAGCACTTAGAGAACATTTAAACAGACTGAAAATCATATCCACTATTATATTTATAAGAAACTTAACAAAACTTCAATTTGAGATTTCTGGTTACATTGATTATAATGAAAGACTTGAAAAAGAAAATTGGCTTGCATATTTTGAAGGAAGAAAAAAGATATGGCCTTGTGCATCTGATCTTGCATATTATGATTGGAGAACAGGAAAATCATGTTTGAATGAAACATCAAACTTTGAACCTGTTATAGATCCAATATTAGGTCTTCGATTCAAACATAATCATGATAGACATTTCATTAATGTAGATCCTGGAGTAGCTACTCCAGGAATATATACAACACGAGTAAGAATACATAGTCAACAATATCAACATGTAATATTATATGATCATGTTCTTAGGAGTAAAATTTAAAGTATTAAATGGAAATATACTTACTTCGCGATGAAGTCGATGAGGATTCACCAGCTGAACAACGCTATCACGTTTTATCAGCATGGCTGTTGAATCTCCTACCCAGGCAACATATAATCTTTTATTTAATATTAAAGTGCAAACTGCAGTAGTCCCACCACATAATTTCTAAATAAAAATATTAAAAACAAAAATTATATAAATATAAAATATTGCATACTTATTTAATTTATATTATATATTTATAAATATAATTTACATTATATATATATTACATATATATATATATATATATATTTTTATGTCTTACTTGTGTCTTTGATTTTTCTATAAATTGTCTATCTGTAGTAAGAAAAGCATCGCGTAAGGCACGCTCCGGATCTGTAGGATAATATATGCTTTCTGTTAAATATTGATGTAGATGAGCAGCACAGTATACAGCTGCATCTTGTCCTGCATGTCCATCAAATACTGCATAATAATTTGCTATAGAATCATCCTAATTTGAAACATATTTTTTTAATAAAAAAATTCATTATTTGTATTGTATTAGTTATGAAATATTTAATATCAATATTTATACCTCAATACCAAATGTAGTATGTAAGTCATGTAAAATTACATAACGGTCTTCCATTTTTCTTCTACAATTTTTGTTTCCACCTGCTGTTATTTGTGGTAATGGAGTTGAAGGAGGAGGTGGCAATAATGCCAATCTACTATTATCCAGATAGCGGGTACAAATTTCATTAACTTTATTAATAATAGCTTGCATTAATTTTAATGAAGTATATGCTATAACATAAGAAAATATTATAGATATTATAATATTATAGATACATTTTTTTTATTGCATATTAGATTTATTATACAGAAAAAATTTATTGAAAGATAACATACTTTTTTCTTGAGATTTAAATCCACAATCTTCTGGTTGTTTTTTGCACATAGATTTAATTTCTTGTATCACTTGATGAACTAAGTATGCTTGTAAACTTGCTGGACATTGCCTAGAACATTAAAAAATTCTTTGTATATATATATAATATATTATATTATATTATATTATTTTATATTATATATATATATTACATAATTTCCAAGGACTTATAATAAAATAGATTATTTTAAAAAATAATTATCTAAATAAATTTCGCAATATAACTCTGAATATAGAAACCATAAAAATAATTGAAACAGTAGTTAATAAATTGACGGTAATATACGAAATTTTGAATTTATAATTCAAAAATTTATTTTTTATAGTGAAGATATATCGTTACGCAACCATGGATTTTTCATTTCGAAATTCTTTAAATCGTAAGCACAGACATAATATGTAAACATAATATAAATATTTATAATTTATTCAAAAAATAATTTTAAATTAACCTTCGAAATGTGTTTCTTGATATTAACGTATGATATATGAAATCTAATTATAATCATTTTTTACATATTATAATGATTTTAATTTTTGATTAAATCGTAGAAAAAGCTTTTAAGCTTTTTACGATTAAACACACAACAGACTTTAATATACTTAAAGTATGCATGAAACTTTTATTTAGAAACAATTTTTGTCATATTGAAAATTATATTTAATATATATAAAAATTCTATATAAAGATTAATTAATTATTGTTACCGTTATTCTTTATTCAAATTATTTAGATAAAGAAATATTAATATTTATATCATTATAATAGTGTTCATATTAAGAAATTTATATTATTAGATAATTTATATTATCAAATTTTATTGTAATTTTAATATATATTTAATTTATTAATTCAAAGTTGATATTTAAATATTTAAATATATTATATAATTTTTAATTTTTTTTAAAAAGCACATTTTATCGCTTTTATATACTAATAATAATAATAAATAAAATTATATTTTAAAACTAAAGAGAAAATTTTAATTAAATTATTATATTTGAAAAATAATAAAATTATAAAACTTAAATTATTTTAGTTTAGGCAGAGTTTTCTAAATGAGCCAAATTATTTTGTTTTTTCCCTATCTTATTATATTTATTATATTCAAAGTAAAATAAAATAAAACATTTTAAAATTTTCTTGTAAATCAACATAACAAATATTTAACAATATTTTACTTTTTTTTTAATAAATAGAAATAAACAATCATTATTTATATTTTATTTCATTAAAAGTTTCACATTTCTTCATAAAGCAATATCATTGTAGAAATAATGCATTTCCTTTACTAAAACATTCATACATACTTTCATATCTTATCTAATAAACGTACGTTGTAATCAAGTATACCGCTTTATCTTACTAGACTTTTATAATTTATTATAAAAAGAATTATCTTTTTAAATAATTATTATTAAATTATTACTAATTATTACTAATTAAAAAATTAAAAACTTGATAAATTTAATTAATTAATTATTAAAAAAAAAATAAATAGAATTTGAAAAATTATATGCATTTCTATATTGGTCATATCAGTTTAAGCATATCGTTTAGATATAAAAAATCTATGGAAAGGAGAAGTTACTTCAAAACAGCATATGATTCAAGAACAAGGAGATTACGCTTTAGATAAACATTTTATCAACATCATAGACGCCAGTAATAATGAGGAGACGACTGCATCAAATATATTAAAGTCAAAATCTTTCGAACTGATTCATAGTGAGAACTCGTCACAGTCTGCGAGAAAGTGTTCTAAACGAATACCAAACACATCTTCTCAGGAGCATTACCGACAGGAGAGAGAAATGACATCGATCGTCGGCACTTACCAACATGAAAGCAATGAAAATCTCGACGAATATTTCAAAGCTGTGGGTATGTTGAAAGCGACTAAAAATAAATGTGGTACATCTTTCTATGAAAGCAGAAATAAATATCTTCTATAACATTATCTTTTTCCGCATTGTTTTCTGTTTAGTTTATTCTTAAAAAATTTAAAAATAAAAAAAACATTTTTGATTTTATTTATTATACAAAATAATAATTGTAAGTATACGTAATGCGCTATTATAATTAAAATTTTGTTCTTGATTAATGTATAAATATATATACATATAGTGCGTGCAAACATATGATATATATATATGTGTGTATATACTTTTATTATTACTTGTATTAATAATATGTACGTTTTTTTTATTCATTAAATATTCCATTGAATAAAGAATTAGAATATTTAATCTCAATAAATTATTTATTGTAAACCTTTTATCGAATTATATTAAATATATCGTTAATTTAATAAAAGACAAAATCTTAAATGTGATTAATGTTGTGTTGTATATAAAATATTATATAAAATCAAAATAAAAGCGATTTCGTTTTCAATTATATGCACCTATAGGTGTACCATACATTCCACGAAAACTGATGTGTATGTCCAATCCGCGACTGGAAATATCGAACGATGATGATAAATGGACCATTCGTACCATTACAATGATTCGTGTAGCAGAAGTGACGTTTACTCTCGGTGAAGAATATGAAGAATACATGCCTACAGGAGTTATACTGAAAGTATTATTAATATTTTTTGAATTATCGTATTCATTTTAACTTAATCGATAATCATCTAAATTTTTCGTAAAAAAAAAGTATCATTTTTTTTAATCCAACAAATTTAAATATTTACCGTTAAATGGTATAAATTTATAAGATAAGGATATAAATTTTAAAGATATACTTGCATTTATCTATTAGAAAATATTTAATGCAGTGCGACTATAACTTATGTATATACTATTTTTAGTTTCTATAATATTTTTATGTCTGCTTTTGTTTAGAATGTGACTACATTGGAAGGAGATAATCTAGTGACAGTTTCAGTCGGTCCAAATAACACTAAAGTACTACGAAAGTACGAAATTACAAAAGATGGTGTAGTTTTGGTATGTTTCATTTATATTTCCATTCACATAATTGTTGGAAATATATTCTGAATTTTTTAGATATGAAATATTTAAAAAAAAAGTAGAAAGATTTTATTTAAAAAAATTTTAATTATTCGTAATTTTTTTGTATTGAACAATTTACTTCACATTATTACAACAATTATTGCTTTAATAGTATAAATCTTTTTCATAATTTATTTATTCATTACTTTATTCATATTCATATTATCATTTATGTATTGCATGCGTATAATCTTTGAAATGAATCATTATAACACGAATTATTTTATATAAAAAATATTTCAACAACATATTTTTTAAACTGTTAATTTATAATTTATTTATCAAAATAAAAAGCTTTGTAAACATTATTACATTATATTATATTATATTACATATAGTATAATAACATATTAAACATTGTATGTATGTATAAATTAATCATATAAACAATGAAATGAAAACAAATTTAATAATATTATATTTTCTATTTTCAGATAATGACTCATGAAAAGAGTGGCCAAATAGGAAAACGCTATTTTAAACGTCTTTAATAAATTTTAGTGCAAAAATATTTCTATATTTTATTTGATATATATTAACTTATTATTAATAATTAATTTTTTACTTGCATTTTATGCATATATATTACATATATATACAACGATAACTAGTTGACGATAATATAATTTGAAAGCATATTTTAAACAAAGAAAAATTGAAACATAACTTGCATAGAAAATGCTAATAGTGACTAGAAGAAAAAAGTCACGGATCAATCATAAATGTTTCTCCCGTCATTTATGGCATGCGCCCCACCTACTTTTGCTGAATGTCACGTGTTGCATAATATAAAAAAAGCATGGATAAATAAAAATTATAATATTAAATTAAAAATAAAGAATTAAAATCTCTAGTATTTGAGTTTAAAAATATCAAAATTATTTGTACGTTTAAATATAACAAAAAAAATTACTATAAAATGTTAGTTTACAAGATCTATATTGTTTCTGTTTACATTTGATGCCGGCCGCCATAGAAGCTATCAACAAATAAACATGTCTTATATCCACCCACGCATTGACATACTGCAATATCATTCATTTAAAAAGTACATTCACTTACGTCTGGTTGAGATATTGTAGAGTCACATTGATGATTTCACCGACGATTTCAGCTTCGGTCACATTATATGAGCTCACCGAAACAGGCAGTTGATCGTATGGATTTACTCTAGCGACAAATTCAGAGAAAAAACGGCTATACGCCCCAAGATAATCACCATCAGAACAATCTTCCGCCATTCTTTTTTGTCTTCGTGAAAAATCCAAATTAGCGGCACACACTTCTTTCAGCACAAAGAGCACGATATTTGACTTCGTTTATGAGATGTTAACACGATACCTCAATAGTTATCTCTTCGTAAGTCAAATTAACATGGAGATATAAGAATGAAACGAAGAGAAAGAGAAAGAAAGCAAAAGTGTGTACGTATTTTGTTTTTATCGTTTTTCTAACAAAGCGATGTTCTGATCTAAACTTATTCGTTGATAGGAGATATTTGTATTTAGGTTACGTCACTCATTCAACATCGCGTACGCACATAACACTACGGGTTCGATCGAACGACGCGTTTCACTATTGTGCTTCTCTCAAAGAAGTGGGGAGGATTTGCCGCGACGTTTAAACACTATCTCTCCCGCTTCTTTGAGTCCAGCGTTGCTTTTTGCCTTTCCTTTTGCCACGGCCACTGGCCACTTGCGGATTGACTCTCGTAACGGAGGAAAAAGTGCGTAACGGAATTCATCGAGTAGCGTACTGCGCATGTCTGACACGGAGCTCTACTGCTTCTTGGCCGTACATCTACTATACTTACTTCTTTATAGTATGTATTTATTATTATCTTTTTTCCAAATTATACATACTGACATATATATTTGATCAATAATATTTATTTAAAATAAACGATCATATAAATATATAAATAGAAAGCATAATCAGAATAAAATTTTCTTTATAGAAATATTAAAGAAAAATGAATTCATTTAAAAAAAAAATTAATATTTAATTGTAATGAATTGTATATATATATTAAAGTTATAGTAATTTTAATTATTATGAAAAATTAAAATATAGAAATATTTTTATTCATATATTTTTATGCATAATAATAAATATATTGTATTTTATATTGTAAAATATATATATACATATTTTTATATATTTCTTTATTTTTAATATAAATATAAATATTTTTATTTTAAATTTGATCGAAATTTTAGACAATATAAATTAATTCCTAGCAAATTTATCTTATTATTTATTTTGATTAATTGATATTTTTCATGTCATATTTCATATTAATATAAATTTATAATTTAAAACATACATAATATCATATAATTTATAAATTTTTTTGTTACAACAATAAAACACAAAATCTTTAAGAAATTTAAGATTTTAGAAAAATGTTTATTTTTACAAATATTGTATTAGCTAAATTCTTAATATCATATAATATTTAGATATAATATTAAAGAAATTAAATTATTTTTACATTATAGTACAAGAATTTTTTAAATTTTCTTCACTTTTTTCATTTTTTGCTCTGCTACTTACAATTTTTAAATATGAATTTTGATTTTTTTCATCCAACCACTTAGGTAATGGTGCATTCCAATTTTCTGGAGGTTTATCTCGTTTTTGCCAAACATCATTATCATAATGAGCTTGTAACCTTTGAAATCTACGTTTTTTCTCACTTTCTATTAGTTCAATCTATAAAAAATACAATATTAAAATAATAATTTATTTTTTAAATTTTATACAATATTTATGAATTATTTGATTTCTAACATACATATGCTTTTTTATCTTTCTTGCGTTCCCATAAATCACAATTATTATAATCAATTTTCCATTGTTTACAATCTATTGTTTCTCCATATATGAAATATTGATGAAAACGAGCTCTAAAGCTTGTACAGTCATTATATTCCGCTTTGTAAATTTCACATGGCTTAATCTAAGATATAAAAAATGTTAAATTATTATATTATAAACAAATAATGTATTAACACTTTGTTATATCTTTAATGTTTAATTAAAATTGAAATATAAAATTAAGATATAATAAAGTTAATATATAAAAAAATATATAGTAACCAGCCAAGAATATTCAATTTCTTCTTGAATTTTGTTTGTAGTATTGTTAGGTTCAGGCATCTTAGTTTTATTTCTTTGGTTAAATAATTCACTTAAATAATTATCAATTATTTTTTTTCTTATAATTAAAACTCAGAATTAAATGATTAATATTTTTTCACATTTAAAACTTGTTTTAATAAGATATTATGTTTATAAAAACGGAATATTTATAAATACTTAATGATTCAAATACAATATGACATTATATAACATCAGTAACATAAGATTTCTATTGATATTTCAATAATATTACAATGTATTTCACATTTAAATATTAAATATTTCAAAAAAATTATAATTTTATATTATATTTTAGATTATGTTAAAACATTATATAAAAAAAATAATTATGAATTCACTTTAAAATATTAAGCGTAGTTTATACTTCAGATATAAGTCATCATGATCAATCTGACAACACCGCAAAAATAGCATAAACAGTATTTTACAAGCATAAACAATTTTATATTAGTATTGTCATTATTAATTTATAATATTTCAAATGCTGTAATATTATAATCTATGTATAAAAAAATTAAAATAAAAGATATAAAAATTTATCTACAATTGACTTGAAATAAAAATTATACTTTTATAAATATACTATAAAAAATTATTATGAAAAATCTTTTTATTAATGTAAACAAAACAAATCTGTTAATTATATGACACATGCTATAACACTAAACTATAATTTCAATTATATTTCATTTATTAAATAATTCATAATACGCGGAAAATTACAATTAAATTATTCTATATTGAAATGATAGTGTGAGTACTATTGTCAAATTTAATAAAATAAATGTCTCTCTTTTTTCTCCTGAAGGAATAATTTTTTCTTTTAATAATTAAACCATTTACATAAATTTTTAATTAATAAGAATTATTTATAACAATGAATAAAATATTTTATAATATTANATTTTTTTTCTTAAAAANCTTTTTTATACATTCTTACATATATATATATATATATATATATATATATATATT